TTATAAACAGATGGGATTCCAGTTTAAACTCTTATCAAAAGACAGCGCCTCCAACAATATCCCACTCTTCCAGTACTGCACTGTCACTCTCAACCTTGAGTTCAATTTCCGAAGTAGAGCTTGAACCTGCTGGGCTGGGTGAGATATATTTTGTAAAGAATCCACATAGGATTCCATCACAATATTTCAAACTAATTCTGTGGAAGGAACTGTTAGTCTATGTGAAAAATGGTACATCAGCCACGGTGAGACTGGAGGATGTTTCTTCAGTCACACCAAATTGACCTTCATATATTTCCATGTAGCTTTGAGCAGTGAAGTCCAGACACTGAATAGAAGGACAGTATTTGGCTATACATGACCGTAGATAAGAAGCTTCTAATATTCCTGGGTTCTGCTTATTGTATAATGTGCTACAAGCCAATGTCACTCACTGTATCCTCACTTCCTGTGTTTCAACACCAAGCATTCAATTTTATGGGAAATTCCCAGGCTCCAATTGCCTGTCTGTATGAAGTGAATAGGTTAAAGTTTCAACTCTTGAACTCTGCAGCTGATGTATCACATATTCCACTGCAGGACAGAAGATCTTCCCATAGATGCCTCCTGTGCCTAATACTTTCCAGAATTAGATAAGCAGGATGCATAAGAATCATGCAACTAACCTCCCCACCTCCTGCATCACTGATTACCCCAATTAAAAGAAATAAGATTCCTTCTTCACCTTATCATGTCCCTTCAGAATTTTAAAGACTGCTATCACATTCTTCTGAATCTTCTCTGATCAGCTCCAAAAGATGGTGAGACCAAGAATATTATAGGTTCTAGATGAACCTTTAACATTCAAGGTCAATGGTAATTGCTGATCTTAAATTTGTGAGAATAATAAAGAAACTGTTTCTTTCAAGAACTAAAATAAAGGTTATCATTGCTTCTTCAAATGTCAAAGAGGAGATTAAGGTCCAGTTATTCAGCCTGTGAGAAAAATGCTCTGTAAGAAAAATTTTATTCAAGTGGATTATTACGTGTTTGTAAGGAGGATGATAAACGAAGATGATAAATGGAACCATCAGAAAATGAATATGTTAATAATTTAATTCTATTTCTCCACATGATTTACATACTGAAACTTCTTTTCAATCGCTTTTGAATATTACGCAGAATTTAATAACAGTTTCATTACTGTTTAAGTCCCTTCGTAAAAAAATACAAATGTTGAGTGACTCACATATATCCAAACTAAAAATCTCCAGATTAATATTTCATTCACCTCATGGTTCTTTGGGGGACAATTGTTGAGATCACAAGAAAGTATTATGAATAAAGGGAGTGTAGCTAGCAATGAAGAATTTGTAAACAACTTCAGGGGAATATAGACAGATTATGATAATCTTTGCATTTTTTTATATGGCACATCTTCTAGACGTCTCTAAGTGCTTCACAGAATATACTGTAAAGTGAATTGACAGCCAATTGCGCACAGCAGTATCCCAGAAACAGTTGTGGATTGAGTGACCAAATTATTATTTTTCTAAAGGGATTAGTAGCCTCAGAAAAGTAATCTGCCTATCAACTAACAACCAGGTTATTGCTAGGTAAATAGAGGCGTGTGGAGTAAGGAAACTAGAAGAGCTGGTGGGAGATGTAGACCTGAATGTAGGCCTTAATGGCCCAATCCGCTGGAAGGAGGTGGCCTCCACACTGAGGCGCTTTGCCAATGACAAGGCAGCTAGTGCAGACAGCATCAATGCTGAATTCCTAAAAGTTGCTCTGAGGAAGGAGATGGAGAACGGTGAAGGTATTACAGATCCAAGCCAGGAACCTCTAACTCACCTTGGAGCTGCCGTCCTTGCGCTGGTCAACAAGATTCTCTGAAGCTCACACCCTATCAGTGTTCTAGAGTGTAATTGTGGTGTCTATCCACAAGAATGTGACCCTAGTGAAACCGATAACTACAGAGGGATCTTGCTGATTTCAGTTGCTATTGAAGTGGTGTTTCGGATGGTGCTTCCTGAGCCAGGCAGGTCTGCAGTAATCCAGTGTACTGCTGATGACAGCACAACTAGCCTGGCTTGTCGGCAGGACCTGGAAGGGTAGACCAGTCACCTGTGGCAGGCAGTCAACCCACTCAGCTCTTGCTGACCCTGCAAGCCAAGCGATAACCGATAGGGAAGGATTATCTTAGCTGGACAAGCAGCGGGAAAGCTTGCCAGACAGCAATATCAATGGTAAACTATGTGGTTTTAGCTGGTTAAGTTCCAGCTGTACCCCAACAGACATTCGGGGTGCCCAAGACCTGACTCTTGTCAACTTGTGTGCCACTCTCTTCTCGAACCCCTCCACAGCACAGAAACAGCCTGGTCAAAGTGACAAATGACATTCTGTCCATCTGCAACCAGGGGTCCCTCTGCCTCCTCGTCCTCTTGACCTTTCTGCAGCTTTCGTTACTGTTGACCACTCTATCCTCATCCACCACCTCTCCTCTCACCTCAATCTCCATGTATCTGTCCTTGACTGGTTCAGATCGTACTTCTCACACCACCTGCCCTTCATCTGTACAAATGGCTTCTCCTCTATACCCTGGACCATCTGGTGTGGCGTTCCTCAGAACTCTGTCCTTGGCGCCCTCTTCTTCAATGTTTATATGCTCCCTCTTGGTGACATTATCCGCAGACATGGGGTCAACTTCCACATGTGTGCGAATGACACCGAACTCTACCTCTCTGCCTCCACCCTTGACTCCAGGACCACAGCTGTCCTGACAGAATGTCTGTCAGACATCAAGTCCTAGATGAGAGCTAACTTTCTTCAGTTGAACGTCAACAAGACCGAGGCTCTCCTGATTCGCTCCTGTCAGCGCTTCCTCACCTCAGGAGCTGACAGCACCACCATCCATGGTTGCACACTCCACCTTGCTAAGCCAGTCCGGAACCTTGGGGTCTTGTTTGACCCTCAACTATCGTTTCTACCCCACACTGCACCATGACCTGCTTGGCCTTCACCCACCTCCGCAATGTCACCCGGCTCCGCCACTGTCTCACACTGCAGATCATCCAGAACTCTGCAGCCCATATCCTCTCCCTCACTAGGCTCAGTGACCCTATCACTCCCATCCTTGCCCAACTCTAGTGGAGAATACACAGAGGATACAGTTCAAGATCCTGGTCCTGACCTTCAAAGCCCTCCTCCTTGCTGCCCCCTACATCTGTAACCTCCTAATACCCTACCATCCTGCTCACTCCATCTGCTTAGAGGGCTCCGGCCTTCATCACGTCCCCTGCCTCACTGGTCCACTATTAGCAGGCGCGCCTTCCGCTACTCTCCCCCCACCCTCTGGAACTCCATCCCGCAGTCCCTCCACCTCACCCCCTCCCATGCCGCCTTCAAAACCTATCTCATGCCCTCCTCTTCGACCGTGCTTTTGATCTCCCTGCTTCTCCCCGGACCTCCACCCTTCCCGACCCCGACCCCCAGCTTGGGTCCATAACTCTGTCTGTTCAGAGCCTTGTGATGTCCTTCTGACATGAAAGGCACTTAAACATACAAACGTAATTTTGTTATTATTTTTGTAATACTTTCCGGAATAAGGTAAGCAGGATATGTCCCTCCAGGGAGAGAGAGTGCATTTCCATTCCAACAATCTGTCTGTGAGATTTCCATGTGTAGGTGGGATACATGGAAACCTTAGTTTTGTTTGGATGCTTTTAAACATGATGATTGGTTTCCGCATATGTCAGACACTACACTGACGAAAAAAAATGAACGGTAATTACTTGTAAAGGACTTTGAACCTTGATAAGGTTTTATAAAATTCATATGTCTTTAAAATAAACTCTCCCATTTTAAATACTTATATTACTTCACTGTCCCTACTGCTTTCTTCTAGAGGTAATTTCACCATTATAAAAATCCTCGCATTTGAATAACGCCTTATCAACAACAACAACTTGGATTTATATAGTGCCCTCCATGCCGGATGGCATTTCAGAGCGCTTCACAGTAACGGATCCCGGGGCCGAGCCATGGGGAGAGGGAAGGAAGGTGACCAAAGGTGCGGTCGAAAATAAAGGTCTTCAGCCGAGACCTGAAAATAGGAAGAGAGGGGGCGAGGCGAAGGGAGTAAGGAAGGGATTTCCAGAGCCTCGGGGTGTAGTGGCTAAAAGCACAGCTGCCGATGGTGGAGCAGAGGATTTGGGGGACAAGGAGGAGACCAGACCTGGTGGAGCGAAATTGGTCAATTTATCACATCTTTGGGACATGTTAAAGCGCTTCATAGAATATACTGTCAAGTGAATTGATTGTATATTTTGTGGGTGAAATGTGGCAGCCAATTGCACACAGCAATGTCCCACAAACAGTCATGGATTTAATTCAATAATATTAAATTGACCAATTTTTTTAAAGGAATTATTACACCCAGGAAAGTGATCTGTCAATCGACTAACTTCAGGTTTCCTACTTGGTCCTAGATAAACAGAGGCGTGAGAAGTAATATACTTGCAATAGATTTAAATACTGTACAATATTTTAATACAGCTCTTAAATAATATCAATACATTTGATACTATATATAGGTATGTCAATGAGAGTAAATATATCAAAACTGAAGCAATACTTTTATAAGTAGCAGCCAGTTAAAATTCACTTTATTTGCTTTGACAAAAAGGTGTTTTAAATTTCGCCCACAAAATATACAATCAATTTACTTTACAGTATGTTCTGTGAATTGTTTCGAAACGTCTCAAATGATAAGAGGCTATATCGAAGACAAGGATTAATATTATTATTAATTATTAAGTGAAGAGCCAGCGCATCCTGAAACTGAGGTCACTTCAAGCTCAGGGAAGCAATCATTAACTGATTTAGTCATAGCCGTCACCCTGCATGACTTTTGTAACTCTTTTCAGGTAATTTCACATCACTTAAAAAGAAACCTCAAAACGAACCCACAGATTATTAAAAATATATGGAGCATTTACGATTGATGCAAAATCGGTGGCTGCAACTGCCCGATTCTTACTGTAAGTTACAGCCTGAAAGTTTCTATGATATTGTAACAGAAGCTGCCGGGAGCCTGTGATGAAGTTTTCCACTGTACTGTGTGTGTGCGTGTGGGGGCTGCAGCTTTCACCAAGGCTTTCCTGCAGGGCTTCCTTTAGCAGTGTGGGAGGGTGTTTACCCTTTTTTCCGTCACAGCGAGGCAAACAAGGGAATCCTCAGTGCTTTTGCTACATCACACAACCCTCTGATCTTTTTTTTAATCCGCTTTTAAAGAGAAGTCTGCGGATGAGTGGGCACAACAGTCGAAACATTTCGATAACGATGTGGTAAGAAAGTTAAGGGATTTCCCTCAGAGAAGGGACTGGCTATTTTTTTTCTTTTCGTATAAACACTCGAGAAGCCTTGTTTTCTCGCAGATCACATTCTTTACGTTAGGAGTCACAGTGTTCCTGATTGTATATTTTTCTTATTGTGGAGGCGCATATTAACTTGTACACTTTGGGAAGGGAGTGCTGCCTGGTGGAGTCAACTGCACAGTACATTATGGTAAGTAACTTTTTAGAACTTCTTCAATATTATGCATATTCTGGTAAGAGATTCAAGTAAAAGTGTGCTCCCACTTTGGGTGTCTATACGGCCAATGCATGTATGTATGTATATATATGTTGTGTGTGGATGTGAGGGGTAACATTTTGCCTGAGACTGGATTTGATAACAATAATAATAATCCCTGCATTTGATATAATGCCTTATCACATTGTTGAGACGATTCAAAGCGCATCACAGAATATACTGTAAAGTGAATTGACTGTATATTTTGTGGGCGAAATGCAGCAGCCAATTGTACACAGTGGTGTCCCACAAACAGTCGTGGATTGAGTGACCAAATTACTATTATTTCTACTCGGATTGTTCCGAGAGTAATAATTCCTTAAAAAAAATTGGTCACTTCAATCCACGACTGTTTGTGGGACATTGCTGTGCGCAATTGGCTGCCGCGTTCGCCCACAAATATACAGTCAATTCACTTTACAGTGTGTTCTGTGAAGTGCTTTGGGACATCCTCCCGACGTGAAAAGCGCTATATCAAATGCAAGGATTATTATTATTATTATCTTGAAAACGTGACTATATTAAATGCAAGGATTATTATTATTATGCTTACAGGGAATCCAGTTTTTGGCAGATTCTGAAATACGAATCTTCATTTTGAACTAAAGAATATTGTCTTCATAGGCAATACAAGATCTCTACATCGCAGCTCATATATAAGTCACTGTCAGTAAAATTATTTTATAAAAGAATAAAATGGAGTCCTATAACTCAGTGGTTGGAGCATTCAGCACGCAAGTGAGAGACCTGGGTTCGATATTCAACAGGGCAAAATGTTAGGCAAGTTTCCTTACTCCACATGCCTCTGTTTAACCTAGCAGTTAAGTAGGAACCTGCTTGTTATCGATTGGCGGATCGCTTTTCCGGGGGCAATAATTCCTTAAAAAAAAGAATAATAAATTGGTCATTTTAATCCATGACTGTTTGTGGTACATAGCTGTGCACCATGGTAAGGCGCTATATTAAATCCTTGCATTTGATATAGCGCTTTTCACGTCGGGAGGACGTCCCAAAGCGCTTATGATAAAATGCACATAATCTAAGCAATATTAAATGTCTCTTGGATGTCACATCATCCCAACGTAATAACAATAATAAAAATAATCCTTTCATTTGATATAGCGCCTTGTCACATCATCAAGACAAATTAAAGCGCTTCATAGGATATGCTGTTAAGTGGATTAACTGTGTATTTTGCAAAATGTGGTAGCCAGTTTGCACACAGCAATATCCTACAAATAGTCATGAAATGAGTGACCAATTTTGGAGCAGCTCCTTCTTTTTCTTTTTGAATAGTTCCCAGGGATCTTTAATAATCACCTGAGCAGGCAGATGGGACCTCGGTTTAATGTCTAATCCAAATGTTAATTTCTGTTGTATTCCATGTCTACCAGAGGACTGGAGCCTTTAATCCTGTTCGGATGTCAATGAATAAACCACTCTGTTGATTGCAGATGTTTTCTAAATCCCAGTGATTAGATTCTTCTATTAGTAATCCCTTTCCATTCCTCTGGTATTCTCAGTTAGCTCGCTGCAGATTTTTCTATTGACATTTATTGTAATGGGAGAATGCAGGCATATTTTTTAGAAATGTTTAAACTGGTGAAAATGGAATTTTTATAGTCATCAGGCAGCTTGAAATATTTTCAAATCTAAATCCAGTTATTAATTCAAGTAGAAAATACAATTTAAAAACATTTTATAATACAACAACAAAATTACAATTATAGAGCGCCTTTCATATCAGGAGGACGTCCCAAGGCGCTGGACAGTCAGGGGTCAGGACCTGAGCATGGAGGAGGGGTGGGGTAGCAGTGAGGGAAGGCAAAGTGGTGGGAGGGCGACTGAAGGCACGATCGAAGAGGAGGGTCTTGAGACCGGCCTTAAAGGAGGCAAGGGAAGAAGTCTTCCAGTAATAAAAATAGTCATTGCATTTGATTAAGCTGTGACGCAGAATCCAAGGAAATATTCTGATTATGCAGTGGCTATATCAACTCATCTCAGATGAATGTCGCAACATGTCAGTTACGATAAGAATTGCATGTTTATTTTACTGGAACCGAGTGAGAGCAAAACATATTGGGACATTTCAAAACAGGATTGAATCAAAAGTATTAACTGAGGCTGGGAATAAAAAGAGAAAAGCTGGAAATTAACACCAGGTAAAAAGAATGCAAGAGCGAATTGACATTTCAGATCTGACCTTTTAGTAGACTCAAAATGGGGGTGGAGAAGTACATTGAATGGATAGAGGAGGGAAAGACAACAAAACGGAAACATGAGGATGAATTTAGCAAATACGTGGCTCAAAAGTACACTTTGACTATATCTGGTAATCTTAGAATGGAAGGTCACATGAAATTGTGAACAATTCATTCACTCATTCTTAACCATAGAAGTCAATTTTCCTCAGCTCTTAAAAAGAACCATTTATCAAATTGAGACTGAATTTAGGAATCCTCTAGAATTGTGAGTGATTTTACATTTTAGGCCAAAATTGCCTTGCAAGCTAAGACAATCATAGAATCATAGAATTATACAGCACAGAAGGAGGCCATTTGGCCCATCATGTCTTTGCCAGCTCTTTGAAAAGAATTATCCAATTTAATCCCACTCCCCCGCTCTCTCCCCATAGCCCCGTAAACTTGTCCTCCCCAAATAATTATCTACTTCTCTCTTAAAAGTTGTAATCGAATCGGTTTCCACCACCCTTACAGGCAACGCATTCCAGATCCAAACAAGTTGCTGTGTGAAAAAATTTCTCCTCACCTCCCTTCTGTTTCTTTTAACGACATTTAAAATCGGTGTCCTCGGGTTACCGACGCACCCGCCAGTGGAAATAATTCCTCCTTGTTCACCTTATTGAATTGCCTCATAATTTTAAAAACTTCTATTAAGTCTAAGTCTCCTCTTAACCTTCTCTGCTCCAAGGAGAATAATCCTAGATTCCCTAGCCTCACCTGATAACTGAAGTCCCTCATTCCTGGTACCATCCTGGTAAATCTCCTTTGCACCCTCTCCAATGCCTTGACAAGGTAGGAATTCAGACTTACAGTGCTAAGCATGATGATTTACCTGGTGTATCCAGCAAAATATCTGACAGCAACTGTGGGAAATGTGGAATGCTGCATGAAATGGAAATTTTTGCTATATTCCTGCATAGTGTTGGCTGGTGACCTTTTTAACAAGTGAGACACATTTCCTTAGGCAATCTGTGAATTATTAGTTATTAGTTATTAGCGCTCTGAAACGCTACTCTGGATGAGGGGCATTGTGTAAATGCAAGTTGTTGTTGTTGTCTGTGTGGAGAGGATACACTCTTTCACTATCACCCACCGTACTTGAACTGTGTTGAATATTTGTCTAATTTTGTAACACAGTATACAAGTATACAGTATACCTCACACAAGTCATATCACATGGAGTCCTGTGTACCTTAGTAGTTAGAGCACTCGCCTCACAAGTGAGAGGATCTGGGTTTCCTTACTCCACACGCCTCTGTTTACCTAGCAGTAAGTAGGAACCCCATTGTTAGACAATTGGCAGATCTCTTTCCCGGGGTTAATAAACTCTTGAAAAAAATTAGGTCACTCAATCCACGATAGTTTCTGGGACACTGCTGTGTGAAATTGGCTGCCACGTTTCACCCACAAAATATACAGTCAGTTCTCTTAACAGTATATTCTGTGAAGCGCTTTGAGATGTTTCAAAGATGTGATAAGGCATTATATCAAATGCAAGGATTATTATTATTATGGATCCATTTGTTGCCTAATTAATTCAATTCTATTGTATATGTCTGAATGGAGTTTCACTTAAATATTTTCAGAGTTGAATATCGATCCCAAAAGCCTCCTGTAAATTGGGACATTTTTGCACAGAGAATATTTCAGATGTCCATGAAATTCATGTTTTGCTAAAATATAGGAAGTCTTGCAGTTCGCAAAATAGTTCTTTGGTATTGTTTGAATTTGAAAAGGGTAATTATAAAAGAAGCATGAAGCATCCTTTCACAGGGGCTATCAGCCTTTGCCAACATAATAAGATGGCTGAATTCTGCAATGACAGCGAAAGTTCCCAAGTTCATATTCTGGTCCTAAATAGTTTTCCCTTAACCCTGAGAGTGTAGTGCTTGGCTTGGCATGTTGATCTCCTGCAACTAAACTGCCACAATATTTGCGCTCGGATCTCCCACTTTTTTCCAGGAATGGAGCTGGAATGCGGGTTCTCTGCATCAAGATTATCCAATGTTTCCATGATACATTGTTCTCCCTATTGTACCACTACAACAGTGAGACAATGCATTACAAAAGGATAGAGAATTAAAATAGCATCAGCAAGTGCTTAAGGAATAATTGAATTCTCTAAACTCATCCACCTTCTCTTTAAACCATGCCAAAAAACAGAGTGTGTCAAGTAGGGACAAAAAGCTCAACAAAGGAAATAGGGCATTAATAAGCAGGTGAAATAGTAAGAGGTCAAAATTAAAGGTGCTATATCTGAATGCACGAAGCATTCGTAACAAGATAGATGAATTAAGTGCACAAATAGAGATAAATGGGTATGATCTAGTGGTTATTACTAAGGCGTAGTTACAGGGAGACCAAGGGTGGGAGCTAAACATTCCGGGGTATTTGATGTATAGAAAAGATAGGCATTGTGGCAAACGAGATGGGGGAGGGTGGTGGGGTGGTGGTGGTAGGTGGAGGTGGTAGCCCTGCTAATAAAGGTGAGATAAAAACAGTACAGAGGAAGGATTTCAAATCAGAAAATCAGGATGTAGAGTCAGTATTGGTGGAGATAAGAAACAACAAGGGGCGGAAAACACTAGTGGGAGTAGTTTATAGACCTCCAAACAGCAGTTTCAGTATTGGCCAGGGTATTAATCAGGAAATTAGAGGAGCATGTAGCAAGGGGAATACACTAATAGTGA